TCTCTCTCTCTCTCTCTCTCTCTCTCTCTCTCTCTCTCTCTCTCTCTCTCTCTCATGTTTGCAGATGTGTAAATGTGTTGGCTGGAAATTCCAGGAATGGGAATTCGCGGTGCTGCAGAGCTCACAGTAGGAAGTAGTCGAAAGATAAACATTATATGAGTCTTATAGTCTCTGGGCCTAAGGCCTGGCTTTGTGTTCTTTATGACTTAGTTTCTTCATCTGAACCTGGACTCAGCCAGAGGACAGAGTGCATGAGGTCAGAGGTCAGGACACTTCTCCTGACCCACAGTCTGGTAGGGGTCATGTTTTCCTGGTTCACTCGGCGTCCACACTCCTGCCTCCTTGGGTTTAGATATTCGGTTTCTCTCTTGCTTCCAGGATGCCCCACCCTGTGACAGCACCTCATTCGGGTTCCCGCCTGGACTCTGATGGACAGCTTGGTGCCACTGAGCCTTGCTTCTGGACTGGAAACCCTTGGTGGCAGAGCTCTCAAGCCTTTCCAAAGGCTTAGCTGGTGTTTTGGGAGCAGCAAACACTGAAGACAGAAATGTAAAAATCCCAGCAATTGTTCTTTGGCAGAAGAGTCAGGAGCGCTAGAGAAGGCTTGAGAGGGGTGGCGTGGTGGTACTGCTGGACCTGCAGTGGCTGGGTTTGCTGAGGAGGCACGGACCGGCAGTGAGAGGAATGCTAAGAAGGCAGAGAAGCCCAAGTCCTGGCCCATTTCTACTTCCTTGAGGTTCCCTTTGTGCTCCCTAGAGGAGTCAGGAGCCTGGGACAGGGGCTTGAACCTGTGGTTTATGGCAGACCACCCAGAGAGTTCATGCAAATGTAGATTCTGACTCTAGCCCACTTCATACTGCTTCTGCTTGGGGAATGGGACAAGTGAGCCCCCAGCCCCAGTCCCAGCTCAGGCCATGACCTCTCTGGAGACTCTTCTAGAATGTGAGGTGCTCAATCTACCTTGGGCATTGTTGAAGGGATCAAATGGAATGAAGAGCCAGGCCTGGCCTCCTCAAGCCACCAGTGAGATATGACGAGTCAGGGGATGGTCTTCTGTGACCAGCCTTGCTCCTCTCCCCACCTGCTGTAAATCAATGCTTGACCCACTGGGGGGCTGCCGCCACAGGGAGCATTCAGTCACCCTGAGAGGACAGTTCCTTCGCTTTTTAATTTAAACCATGAACTGCCTGATACGAACACCTGAAGGGAGGGATGATTTTAATTAGGCTTATGCTTTCGGAGGTGTCATTCCACCATGGCCGGGAGGGTATGGTAGAACAGAGCGACTGACGTCATGGCGGAGGGAAAGCAGAGAAAGACTGTAGGCAAGGCCAGAGAAACAGCCCCAAAGACATGTTTCCAGTTACCTGCCTCCTCCAAGCAAGGCTCATCTCCTACCTTCCACTCCCATCCCCCCACCTGCCACCATCACAGTTGGCGGAAACCATTAGGGGATTCATCCATCCACTAGGTCAGAGCTCCTATAATCTAGCTCTTTCTAGAAATACCCCGAGGTGCTCTGTAGCTGTCTCCTAAGTGTTTGTTTATCTGATTAGGTTGATGGCATTAACCGCAACACACCCCATAACATTCACCCCTGCGGAGCAGGCAGTCCGGGGTCCTTTGGTCTATCACAGAGCATCACCACCACACTGCCATTTAACTTTAGGGGCTGTCAACCCTGGAAGGAATTTAGGGCATGCTGGTGGTTATTTGCACCAGGATGTCCCCACCTGGAGGAGAAGTGGCTCAGACAACCCCTTTGTAGATGGCCTGATTTGGGTCTGTGTTGGGGAACATATCTCTCTCCTCTAGACTCCATGCTGACAGGGGAGAGAAGTGCTTGGGGACTGTGGGCTCCCCCTGCCCATGTAGGGCCCAGATGCCGCTGCTCTTCAGAGGGTAGAGCAGGGTCATCATGCATGTTTGAGGGTAATCAGAAAGTCTAGAGAAACCTAGGTAATCACAACAAGAATGATGGGAGACAGGGCGAGGAAGCTAGAAGCTGTGTCTCCATGTGTAGCAGTCCCAGGAGAGACTTAAAAAATGAGTTGGGCCAGGTGGTAGTGGCTCACGCCTTTAATCCCAGTACTCAGGGGTCAGAGACAGGCAGATCTGAATTTGAGGTCAGCCTGGTCTCTAGTCTCTAGAGTAAGTTCCAGGACAGTCAGGGCTACACAGAGAAACCCTGTCTCAAGAAGAAAAAAAAAAAAAAAAAAAAGTATTGGATCCTCTCTCTCTGTGTGTGTGTGTGTGTGTGTGTGTGTCTGTCTGTCTGTCTGTCTGTCTGTCTGTCTGTGTGCACGTGCACACGCGTGCAGGTGCCCACGGAGGTCAGAAGAGGACATCAGGTCACCCAGAGCTACAGTTACTGTCCTGGAGGATGTGAGCTGTCTGATGTGAACTCTGATCCTCTGCAAGAACAGCCAGCTTTCCCCATGGCTGAGCCATCCCTGCAGCCCCGGACTGTGCTGATCTTGTGCTCAACCCCTAGCCCCAAGGGCTTCCCTTAGCTTTGGAGATCAGCACAGCCTTGTCTCACACTGTGCCTTCGTTATCTCTTTCCTCAAACCTCCCTGGCTGCCCTTAGGTCCTCCACTAGCCATCAGCAGATAGAAGCAGGTGCACCTTCCTGGTGGACAAATCAGAGGAAGGATTTTTGTTTCCTGAGGCTTGGTTCCTTTTTACAGTGTGTGACCTAGGCAACCGAACACAGAATTCCTACCTTCTACGTGCCAAGCCCCCCAGACAGCTTTGACATCTGGAAGGTACAGAAGATACGGGGGCTCTGAGCAGGGCAGGAATGTAGGAACCCCAGTTTTGCTACAAGTGGGGCTCGTGATTGGCAGGGACCCAATCAGAAAGACATGAATGAGTCCCAGCATGAGAGGACGGAAGGATGAATGAGGCCCCCCTAGGCTGGCCCAGCCCTGTGTTTAGTGGCCCTGGAACCTCGGACTCCACGTAACAGAGGCAAGATGTCAGCAGGTGTGTGCACCCTTCTTTAGGAGGCCCATTAACCTGCTTTTCTCCCAGTAAACAAACCTTCTTTCCATCTTTGCCGTCAGCAGCCGGGCTGAAGTCTGAATTCCAGAGGCCCCCTACTTCCAGTCACTCTGTTCCCCTTTTGCCTCTCCATAGCTCTCTGATGTCACTAAAATACCATTTGAAAAACTAAACTGATCTTGCACCCGGCCCCCACCACCTGCTTCAACCTTTAGATGTGTTCCTGTTTATCATTCTGATCTCAGGCCAAAGGTCCCCAGCCCACAGAGGCCTTGGGGCCACTTGATCCAAATAAAATACATCTAACAGGCTTGGGCAGACCTGAGATGTTACAACAGTAGATGTCTCAAGAAAGGAAATGCCCCAAAGCTCCCAGTAAGATCCAACACTTGTCCTGGACAGCCTGGAACTGATGACTCCCACACTAGGACAGCTCTCCTGCTTTTTGAGTCATGTGTTCAACAGCGCCACCACGTGGTAGTGAGAAACAGCAGTCTCAGCGCTGGCCACAGGAGGTCAACAGGCTGTACAGGGGCGCCAGCCCAACAGCGACACCAGGTGGTAATGACGGGAACAATAGCCTAGTAGACAAGCCCCCTCTCAAAACTGCAGAACCCTTGCTCATTCCTTCATTTAAGAAAGCCCCAAGGATACTGGCGGGACTTTATGCTAACGCAGGTGTAAGGGACGCAAGAGTACACGTGATGTGCAGCCCCTGTTGGCGACAGCCAGTGAGCCCATCAATGGATGGACAAGAAGCCACACCAACACACAGGATGTGCAGGAAAAACACAGGTGCTTTTGCAAAGTCCAAAGTAATGTCACAGTTCCAGCAGAAAGGCCGGTGCTGGAGGGGCCGCAGTGAAAGAGGCAAGGAGCCCTGGCGTACAAACCTCCCTCTTTTCCTGTGCTCAACTTCCACTGGCTTGGGTGATTTCTAGAGCCGAGCTTGGGGAAGTGAGCAAGGGGCTGGGGTTCAGGGCCAAAGACTAAAGGATTCCTGGAGCAGGATGTCTTGTGAGTGCAGTGGCCCCCTTGGGAGCAGCTGCAGGGCTCCCAGGCCCAGGGCCTGTGGTGATCTCTCAGGTCCGGTGGACATCTGCTCCAAGCACCAGGAAATTCTAGGGAGAGACAGACACTGTTAGCTGAACTGCACCCTGGATGCTGGGTTGGGATTTTTTAAAAATTGATATTTATTGAGCTCTACATTTTTCTCTGCTCCCCTCCCTGCCTCTCCCCTCTCCCCTTCAATCCTCCCCCAAGGTCCCCATGCTCCCAATTTACTCAGGAGATCTTGTCTTTTTCTACTTTCTACTTCCCATGTAGATTATATCTATGTAAGTCTCTCTTAGTGTTCGTATTGTTGTCTAAGTTATCTGGGATTGTGGTTTGTAGGCTGGCTTTCTTTGCTTTATGTTTGAAAACCACCTATGGGTGAGTACATGTGGTAATTGTCTTTCTGTGTCTGGGTTACTTCACTCAAAAGTATTTTCTAGCCCTATCCATTTTCCTGCAAAATTCAAGATGTCATTATTTTTTTTCTGCTGTGTAGTACTCCATTGTGTAAATGTACCACATTTTCCTTATCCATTCTTCAATCGAAGGGCATTTAGGTTGTTTCCAGGTTCTGGCTGTGACAAACAGAGCTGCTGTGAACATAGGTGAGCACATGTTGCTGGGTTGGGATTTTAAGAAGGGTGGCCTGGCTGGGAAGCTCTGTCTCAGGATACAAGGTAGAGAGTGATGGATGTCACTGTCACCTCTGACCTCCACATACATGGGCGCACACATACATGCTCACATGTACACACACGTGCATCCATACACATTCAAATGCGCAGTGTGCAAGCCATACACACATACCCACATTTAAGCATACACATACATACGTTTAAGAAAAGCAAACGTGGGGGCCTGGCTAAGAAGGGGGCGGGGTGAGGCCAGTCTGCTTGAGAAAGGCAGGGTGTCAGCAGTGTGACTGACAACCTGTGTGACTGCAGTGTGACTGACACCCTGTAGGACTGCAGTGACAGCTGGAGACCCTGCCAGCAGCTTCCCTTGTAGGTGTTCTCTCGGCCACCTCGGGGGCCTCTGTGTGTCACCCCTGCCTTGCAGCAGCTCAAGAGACCTGGTTCCAATCAAGACTGAAAAATTACTCTCTGCCCGAGTCTCCTTCCCTCTGTTTCTAAGTGAAGCAATTAAATTTTGCCAGGGGCTTTTTTTCTCTCTTTTTTTAAAGATGACCTTGATAAAATTCAGGACCAGAGATTCTGTGGGGAGGGGGCAGATTCCTCTGCTCTGTTGCTTGTTTTCTGGTCTCGTCTTCAGGTGCTCATCTCCGGGTCTAAAGAACCAGGATTGACTGCCACCATGCATTAGAGAGAGGAACTTGGTGACAAAGGACTTTCTCATAGGGGCTTTGTGTCAGAAAAGCAAGCTGTCAACAGAGGCAGGAACTTGGGGCCAGGTGAGGGCTTCCCTGTGGGGTTATGGGTTTATTGGGATGTTTAGGGATGAAGGGCCCGGGGCATTGGGGTACAGACACTGTGGAAGGGAGGTGGCCAACGTGTACAGCACAGAGGAAAGCTGGGTGCTGCAGGGGTGGATGCTGAGCGCGGCCATGAATGCCAGGGATATGGGGAGAAGATGCCTGGGGAGGAAGGCCTGGATTGCTGGTGAGCAGGGAGCGGACAGAATGAGAAGGGGAGACTGAAACAGTTGAGGGAAAGTCCCCAGGAGCCCGGGAGCCTGGAAACTCAGAGGAAGGTGTGCGAACATCAGGGTGCCACACTCCTGCAGGACAGGCGTGGCTAGAACTCTTTATGTAAACGTACCAAGATGATGCTGGTGCATCAGTGCTATACACCATGCTCTAGGTGATAGTTTCCTGTGGAAGACTACACTTCCCATCTTCCCTTGTGGACTATAGAAGTCATTTCCATCCCTACAGGAGACTGCCCATGGCAGGGCAGTGGTAGCACACACCTTTAATTCTAGCACTCAGGAAGCAGAAGCAGGCGGATCTTTGTGAGTTCGAGACTGGCTCCCGAGTGCTGGGACTAAAAGCATGCGTCACCACCGCCCGGCATCTCCAGTTGCTTTTTAAAATAATCTGATATTAGGCACTTAAACACACCCACCTAAAAAGAACTGTGTGTCTACGTGGTGAGTCCAGGTTTACAGGAACAAGCAACAGCCCAGGTTTCCTAAGCGCCAACTCTCTCTGTGTCCTAAGGATGTTGTGAAGCTAGGAAGGGCTCAGTGCAGGGTGTGGCACACAGGAGGCTTGGCAGCAGTGGGTGGCTATTCTCACGGGCTACTTGGTGACCGGAGACCTTGGGGACTTACCTGGTAGAACTGAAACACGGGGTTGTCGAGCCGGACCCCAGCGGGCAAAGGCAAAGGGAAACCTTTACGCAGCATCTCTATGGTGCGAGACAAGAGGGGCACATGAAGCAGGGGCCAGTACAGGTTTGCATGCGAGGAAGGAAGGCTGCCCTGGTGTGCGTGCCCCGCCCCCTTCTACTCCACTGACCCCCAAGCCCACATGTAGGACTTCTCTTCTGACGGTACACACCATTGCTCTGTGCCACGCCTGAGTGAAATGGGGGGCTCTATAGGCAGAGCATGGAGCTGGGATTGGGGGTATCTGTACATGGAATCCCTCTGTGTTGCAGATGAAGATGTGAATGGGCAGTAGCTGGGGGAATAACCCCTGCACCCCATAAACTGAGGTGGAGCTGAGGCATGCAAGCACAGGGGATAGTTTAGTAACGTGGGTCAGCCCCGAGGAATTTGTCCTAGACCTATCTTGCCCATGAAGGTGAACTTGGTTAGGTCAGTCTTGGGGCTGCTGGTGTGAATCCCAGCTGGGGATAGATGTTAGTTTTACACCACCCTGAAAAAGTTACTCAACAAACCGGCGCCCCCCCCCCCCCCGCCCCCGCCCCCTCACAGGCAGAAATGATGTAAGGGATGGGAGTAGAGGAGGAGCCCAGGGCACGCAGGTTCCTTTTGTCCTCTGAACTTTTGGGTCAGATGTCATTTGAGGTCACTTGAGGGGCCCATCCTCTGGCCTCTAACCTAAGCCAGGAACCAGGACCTTCAGGCAGGCAACCCCACCTTTCTGACTGGGGCTGAAAACCATTGGTTTCTTCAGAGCTCCTTACCATTGACCTTGGGCAGCACTAGCGTGGGCATGAGGTAGCTTATGACAGTCTGCAGCAGCTCCACCTTCGGATGGGAAGGGTGGGGGGGACTATGTCATCAGGGCGACCGCCCTTCCTTCACACCTCATCTCCCTGCCACCCGACTCTCCACAGCCTCCCAACCCAGAGAAGCCCCCAGAGTGGGCGCAGGACAGACAAAATATGAGGAAACCAGGCATCTGGTAAGGCCATAAGGACACAGAAGGTTGGGAGACTATGAGGGAGCCTTTCTTCCACAGCGGCCAACAAAAGCCTTGCAAATGAGCAAGACACGGGAGGACATGCTTGTGATCCAGAGGCTGGGCAGGAGCATCATGAGTTTGAGATCAGCACAAGACTCCTGAGACCCTGAGCCCTGGCTTGAAACAAATAAACAAGCCAGGCATGGTGGCACGTGCCTTTAATCCCAGCACCCAGAAGCCACAGGCTGGTGGAAGGTGGATCTCCATGAGCCTAGTCGACACGGTGAGTTCCAGGCCAAGGTTACAATGCCTCAAAAACAAAACAAAACAAAACAAAAAACAAACAAAAAAAGCAAAGAAGGAGGAGAAAGGGAGAGAGGGAGACAGGGAGGGAGGGAGGGAGGGAGGGAAGGAGGGAGGGAGGGAAGAAGGAAAAGAGGAAGGAAGGTAGGCCTTTATTTCAAATATGTGTTTTTTAGGCAGTAACAGACCTCATACATCCTTCCTGTTGGGGGCCGGGGAGCAGGCAATAACATGGAGTAAAAGCAAAACCAGAGAAGCAAGAGTCTTCCACAAGACAATTTAACACAAATAATAAACTAGCAAAAACTACTAAGCGCAACAGCAGGGCACTCGCTTGGGGATGTGGCGCAACTTTGATACCGAGCAATAGGAGGGAGCCATTAAACAGGATATTGTCGGAATGTAACCATCAGCAAGGGGCCAAAGTGTGAGGCAGGAAAAGGAGATTCTGCGGACCAAGGAATTCCGAATTTTAACTAAAGAGGCCTACTGAAAAGCCAGGAAGGCTGTATTCTGAATCAGGAGCCGAATGGTAGAAATACACAAATGAGTTTCACTGCTTGGTTTTGCAGAAGTGCAGGTTCCTGGTGCTCAGGGCTGCATATGCGTTATTTTGATGACAATAAAAATAAACAAATAAATAAATGATAACCTGGACCCACATCAAGATGCTTGCCTGGAGCAGTGACTATTACAGCTCGTAAATGTGTGTGCTTTTATTTCTGGAGTAGCCGTTATCGCTCCCCAGGCTGTGCTCCTGTGGCCATCTCAGTTCGGTGCCCTCCTAGCTCTACATCTGGGAAAGCCCATTTTCATTTTCTGCGGGAGCAGAAGTTAGTTACCAGCCGGAGGCAGCCTGGGCAGGGGAAGCCAGAGGAGCCCCAGGAGGGGCAGCCTAGCCTTCTGTTTGCTATTATCCCAGATGGATTCTCGGCAGACTTGGAGGTGGCAGGCTGGGACCATGTGATTCTGGAGCTGGTGGCTCCAAGGCCCTCAGTGGGGAAGGGGGGTGCTCTGCAAAGCAGCGGGAAGCAGGGTCTATCAGTGCTCAGGAGTCTCAGCCTCCAGGGAGGTGCCACACGGATGGGTCTGTCCATACAGAGGGAGGAGGACAGCGCTTGGGCAGCCAAATGGTCAGACCTCTTCTGGCTCACTCAGTCACTTAGCCACAACCCGGATACCACCATGATGCCTTCCCACAAACATCTTCCATCAATTCCACCTAAGCCTCTCCTCCAAATCCCTCCTTCCTCTGTTCCTGGCTTTATACCCTGTGGTCACACTCTTGTGTCCTGTGGCTGTTCCCCTCGTCCGACCACAGGACCCTAAGAGTGGCACAGGTCACAGCTCCTTGTTCTCTGTAAGGACAGGGCTCCCTGAGGCTGCTCACTGCCCTTGAACTCTATCTTCTCAGCCCTAGCCTGCTTCATTGGCCACATCTCTTACATCTTCTCCTCATTGGCCACCAGCCACCCTAGTTCCTTACATTCCACACACGTGCCAAGATGGTCCTGCCACAGGGCCTTATGCCTCTGCTATTCCCACTGCTGCTGGCTCATTCTCATGGCCAAATATCAGCTCCTCAGGGTGAACTTCTCTGATCTCGCTTGCCTCTTTCTTTGAGACACAGTCTCTCTATGTAGTCCTGGCTGGTCTAGAATTTACTATGTAGACTAGGCTGATCTTAGACTCACAGAGATCTGCCTGCCTCTGCTTCTCAAGGGCTGGGATTAATGCACCCAGCTTGATCTCATCGTCTAATACCTAGGAATGGGGTCTCAGTAAAGTAATTAATTTGTCCCATCAATAAACACACCGAATAGCTCTTTGTGTGTGTTTTGTCTCAGTGGAATCCCAGCACACAAGTTCAGGTGAGGAAGGAATGAGTTCTGAGAAGGCAAGCAACTGGCCTGAGGCCACACGGTTTATAAGAGGCAAGGACTCTGGCTCAGGTGGCCTGCCCGCAGAGCAAGCTATGTGCGGGTGAGCCGGGAACTTCCTTGGCAGGGCTCGAACTCACCTTAAAGGAGCCGAAGTCAGACTGCTTCAGTTCCAGCGTCAGCCTGCAGGGAGGGGAGCCGAGGTCGTCCAGTGGCCTGAGTGACCGGGAACCCACCCATGAATACCACCCAGGCTTCTGACTCAGAGTGCTTGCTCAGCATGCCCCAGGCTCTCCCTTGGGGAGAGTCACTTGTTCTCAGAATGGTTAGAGTTGCTGACCAAACCCTAAGCTCTGAGAACAGCCCACCTCCCTGCTCAGTGC